CGTGTGCAGCCCCCACACCCAGGCCTTACCACTCGGGTCTCCTCCAGAGCCGCTTACCTGGGGCCAACGTCAGCAGACACAATGTCCCCGACAGCCAGAGCAATCAGGTAGGAGGGGATCGGCTGGGACATCTTGAAGATGAAGGTGTTATCCTTCTGCTTCTCCCAGCTCGTGGCACTCATCACAGCCGTGAACCCCTCGGGAACCTGGACACATAGATAAAAACATCTACTAGATCCATAATGTACAGAGCAGGATGTCAGCTAACCCAGCCACAGATGCCATGATATCTGGACAGCGAACACGTCCCAGCACGCTGAAGGGGGCCGGGTCCGTGGGCACTGCAGGTTTTGGGGCGCAGAGCAGAGCGGTAATGCCCCAAGCTCCAACTCGGGATCACGGCTGCATCCCTGCCACAGCGTCACCCGGCATTTGGGCACGAACACCTGCTGGGTGCAACACCAGGACACCTGGAGTTGCCCCGCGAGGCACCAGCGAGATAAAGAAATGCTGGAGCTGCAGGTGCTGAAAGGGCAAAGGATGCAAATCCTTCAAGTGCTGGCTCTGCTCCCGTTTCTTACACAACAACTTGTTTTTCCCATTCTTAAGCCAAAGGAGAACCCATGGCCGATCCACCAGCCTGGACTGAGCCCTGGGAGACTGATCCAGTCTCTCCTCTTCCAAACATGGGGCGATCCCCTGCAGTGCTGGGGGGAGTAGTTTTCCTGGTACAGAACGTCACACCAGTGCTCTGTGACAGCCGAGCCCCACGCTCACTCTTCAGCAGGGGACTCTGCCGAAGCTTCAAGGGTGGAAATCAGAGCGGGGGGGGGCCAGAAATCAATTCCCGCATCACCAGCCGATGCCACCATGTGCCATCGGCCTTGGCTTGGTGTCACACTGATAAGTGGCTGCCCTCACCTGCGCAGTGGTGGCCCAGTGCTGGTACACGAGCACCCACATGTAAGGAGGGAATTTGCATTATTTAGTCCTGTTTTTGTACTAAACCTGGGGACCAGGAGCTGCTCCTTCCATCCTGGAAGCCCGGCAGCCCCGGCACTGCCACTAGGACCCAGTGCCACCTGGTGTCACCCCCACCTCCAGCCACGTCCCCCCAAAGTCAGCTCATCACAGTTGCCCTCCGGCTGCTACACACACCAAGAGCAGGCATCCCACTACCCTCAGACTGCTATGGGGCAAAAACTGGGTTTTCTGTGATAATTAGAGGAATTGCTTAGGCAAACGCAGCAGCACGAGGAGAGCAGAGAGGTTGAAACACCGAGTTGATCCCAACAGTTAGCTAATGCTTTGGCATCAAGCACCAAGTTATTTCAGCCACC